CTGACATCATCAATCGCATGTTCCTGCTCAAGGAAGATCTGCCATCTGGTGAATGGGATAAGATGAATATCGATGAGGCTTTTCGTATTGTGTCCGGAGGCCGGAAGAATTGTTGGGAGGGCTTTGGTTCCAAACATCTTCAACCTATGTATGGGGTTCTGTACAAGCTTTGTTGTCGTAATTGGATTCCCACTACCAATTATACCATCATGGTGAAAGACAGAGTCAAGTTTGTGGCTTCTCTCATCCAAGGCCGACGTTTCAACCTTGGTCTTCTGGTGTATGAACAGATCATTGCCATAGCCCGTATGCCTGAGCATGTCAATCTCAAGCTGATGTTTCCAAATCTGATCTTTCAGATGTTGAAATTTCAGAAGATGATCCCAGGTCATCGTGGTGATCAGCCGCTCCAAGGATTTCCCCTGAAGATCACTCTGGACAAGAAAGCTGAAAAAGGTTCCGATGACGAGGAATCCGAGCCTCTCCCTTCTCTGGAAGCTGATTTGGATCAGCTTGCACGCTGGATTAAGCGCATCCAACTGCGTCTCAAAGGTAAGTGTTCTGATCTGTTGCATGTCCTACTTGAATGTTTTTTGTTCTAAATGTGCACTCAAGCAGGGGGAGAATATGGCTCACGGGACAATGCTGCAAAGGACAAGGAGTCGGACACTGAGGGGGGGCAGCAGGGAGATGATGAAGAAAGCGAGGAGAGTGATTGAGAGTAGGGATGAGTGAATGTGTTTTTGCTCTGATACTGTGTTAAGCATGTCACTTGTCTTGTGAAACATGGTCTTTTGGGTTGACAGTTGTTTGAACAATGTCTTGTGTGGTTTTTGGAATGGCATGTTGAGTTTGCATTTGGATCTCGTTCGATCTGTCCGTGCTTTTGTGGGTCTTCCTTGTTTTTCTATGGTTGTGTTGTTGCAGGAAGCTTGACGTGACACATTCAAACAAAAAGGGGGAGAATGTAAGATCAGGATTCTGGACGATGTGTGATACACCAAGACGCGATGTGTAACACAACTGGAAGACGCGGTAAAGAGAGAGAACATCAGGAGCAACGTGGCATCAGCTGATTGGAGTTAAAAAGACTATGTGAGGAGCAAGTCGAATCACAAGATGGAAGATATGGAGAATCGTTGAAGATCTCAACAAGGGAAAGAGTATATTCGCCAACTCAGAAGAGGAAGGGGATATATATATGTGAAGGAGACCTAGAGAAAGGTTGGCCGTTCACTGATTGTATTGAGAGCTTACAAGAAACTAAGTTAGAGCGATTAGGGTTCTTGGTGAGCGAACTAGGCTAGTGTGACACAACTGTTGTTGTGTGGGACTTGGGTAGATTAGGAATTGGTCAGTATCGAATTGCAGTGTGCAAAGTCGTGTAATTCTGATTAGACAAGTCTTGAAGAGATTGTCTAAGTGATTTCTAATAAAAGGCAAAAGGTTTTTGCATTCCCAAGTATGTGTTACATACGTCTCTGTTTCTCTGGTTTTACAGGATGCACATAAATACATCAAAACTGTCAGGGATGAATTTCAGGATAATCGTGAAATATATTATATATTTCTTAAGGTCATGAAGGACTTAAAAACTAAGAGGTATGTTCTCGTTGTTAATGATTGATTTCCTTCATAATGTTTTGTTAAAATTTGTCTCCACATAATAAGTACTCTTATGATATATGCGAAGCTGGAGAATTGATGGTATTTTCATTGTAGAATTGGTTATTAGATCAAAGGTAAAAGAACTCTTCGAAGGCCACCAAGAACTGATTTTGGGTTTCCATAAATTTTTGCCAGTGGCAGAGTGTTATCTTATAACACTGGAGAGTGGAGAGTGACCAAAGTCCACGACCGATACTTGACTTCTGGGAAGCTGTTAGTTTTATCAACAAGGTCAAGATAAGCGCATTCACCCATGCTAGAAAATAGGGATGTCCCTTTGATTATCGATTTGATTTGATTTTTTTTTTTTTATTCTAAACTACACCATTTAGCCCTAATATAAAATTATTTGCTCTTTTCTGATTTTGTCGTTTTTCTCTTAACCACATTTATTTGCGCACAATTGTATAAGAAATTTGAGAAATAAGGTTTATATATATGTTGTCCATATATAACAGGGATACGGTTTAAACGATGAAAAATAACTGAAACCAGGGGCGGATGCAGAAATTAATATAGCATAGGGCACTAGAATAAATATTTTCTGATTTTGTCGTTTTTCTCTTAACCACAATTTGAGAAATAACGTGTACTAGTGCCCCATCTATTATATTAAAACAGAAGCATTTTTAGTATCTGCTTCCAAACAATCCCAAATTTTTTTTAAAAATATTTTATTTTATATTTATATTTATTTCCGAAAATTAGTTATATATTTAAATAGTTTTAGATTTCCTTAAATATATGTCCTATTTGTTTAAATTTTAAATTATTCAAAATGTATAACATATTCAAATTTAATTACAAAAGTTTGGATTTAATTTAATTTAAAATTCAAAAAATGAAAAAATTATAATTAAATTTTATTATAAAATTTTAGATAATAATTTTAATACTTTAAAATTACTTAAATACATGTTATATTTAATTTAAATTTTAAATTTAAATGATATTCTCATAATAGCGCATAATAAACGAATATCTTATTGTATTTTATCATAATCAATCGGTCTAAAATATCAAATATTTATAATTAATAAATATTTATATTATACAATAATATGATATAACTGATTAGGGTTATATATTTATACTTATGGTCTATAAATTAGTTTATTAAAATATATAAGATATTAAGATGATTTGAGGCAATTAAACTAACAGGTTAGCCAATATATAGATATAATGGTTAATGAATATCTTATTATATTTTATCATAATCAATCAATCTAAACTATCAAATATTCAATATTAATTAATATTTCTATTCTACAATAATATGACAGAGTAAATTAGAGTTATGCATTTATAATTAGAGTTTTATACTGGTTAGTTTGTCAAAACATGTAAAATATTAAAAAAATGATTTTAAGGCAAATAAACAGACAGATTAACAAATTCATAGATATATACATAGATTGTTTATATGTAAATCAAAATTTACATAATAATAAAATTTATAATTAACATTAGGTTGATGTATACGTAATTAACTTATACATTTATTCTACTGATATACAAATCTATATTATTTAAAATTAAAACATGCTAAAAATTTTCTTGATTTAAAAAAAAAAAAAATAAAAAAAAAAATTATATCTAAACAAAAAAATAATTACAATTTATATTAGAAATAAAAAAACAAAAAATTCTCGTGCGGATGCACGGGATTAGAATCTAGTGCTATATTAATTTGAGCATCCACCCCTGATTTCAATTATTTTTTATCGTTTAAACTGTATTTCTATTATATAAAGACAACATAAATATAAACCTTATTTCTCAAATTTCTTATACAATTGTGCGCAAGATACAAGTTTCATTAAAAGATGGATTTCTACAATATTGTTAAATAATATATTTTCGTATATTTGGTAATCATAAATATAGTTCAAACATCTTAAAAATGATATCATAGTTGGATTTTTTCTTGTATCTATTTTATAAATTTACTTCTAAAATTTACTTCTGAAATAGTATCCAATTTACTTATGGTTAAGGGAAAACGACGTATTCCGACACGAGAACTATGACATAGTTGTAGAACCACCCAATGTTTCAAATTCGACATATGTTCCCATAATGTGAACTTTGACAACTTATTTACACATAAACCACGATTTTGGTGGTATGCGAATTAAACCCAAAACGAAACCAATCAAACCAACTATATCGGAGTACAAACCACATTCAAAACCCGACCAAAGTGAAATCCATCCTGTGTCAAAACCCGACCCGACGCGAAGATCCATTTTTCTATCACCGACCCGAAGCGAAGAAATCCCTAAATCTATATGATAAACCCTAACATTTCTCTCGTCGAATTCCACATCAGAACGCGATTTTATGATGAGCGACATATCAGGAGCTTCAAGTGGAACATCAGCTGTACGGGGTAGAGGTCGATTTATTGATGGTGTGCCAAAGCGATGCTGGTGTGGGGAAGTGATTGTGCCCAGAATTTCGAAATCCGACAGTAATCCTTACCGGAGATATTACCGGTGTGCATTTGCGGTGGAACAGAAGGTAAACTGGTCTTTCTTTATGTGTATAGCGCTTTAATATCTGGTGATACAGATGATAATAGATAGTTGTTGTGAATTGTTGTAGCTTACCAATGACAACCACATTTTCAAATGGGTTGATGAGGCTCTTTTGAATGAGATTGAGACATTGGCATTTAGAAACGGGAAGACTTGAACAAGAGGTGAAAGAGCTTTTGTCAGTTTCTATGGATTCTGAGAAAAAAATGTTTGAGAAACTGGAGGTTAAGTTAGAGAGAGACATTTTCGAGAAAGTGGAAGAACTTGTTGTTGAAGCAAAGGCCGAGATGAAGAAAATGCTTCTATATGTGGTTTTAGGGTGTTTGATCATTGTAGTTTGTAGTAAGCTTGTTGGTTGAATCTTTGTTTTGGTTCTGCAACTATGTCATCGTGTAGGTTGGATCTTTGATTTGAATCCCAAGTTCTTGTGTTGAATCTTTGTTTTGTGCTATGTTATTTTGGGTCTTTTGCTTTGTTTGTCTTATGCTTTGTTTTAGGTAACTGATTGTGTGGTGTTTGTAGACAAATGAAACCTATGTTATTGGATCTTTGGTGTTATGTTATTGAAAATGTCTTGATTATTACTCATGAGGGAGCTGTAACTAAAAACCTGCATCTTGTTTGATCATTGGAAAACAAACAAGGTTTGTGGCTGACCATTACAAAAGAAATAAAAATATGGTTCAACTCTGATCCTCATAACAACAGTGAAGCAAATGAAACAAGTCCTACAAATCCGCCAAAAGGTCCTAAAATCATGATAAAAAGATGTCTAAAAGCAGCTTATCTTCAATCCACATCTTCAATCCTCAGCTGAGTGAGAACTCCTTGTGAAGATTCAACCTGAGAGGATGATGCTTCACCTAGAAAATCCTGAAGAAAGAACAGAAAAATAGAGATTAGGTCATTACATTAGAAAAAGAAAGCAAATGACAATACATTTTCGAAGTAAACAAGGATAGACAAACCTGATTCGGTTTCTTCTTGTGAAAACGTGAGTTATGACCCTCTTTGCCACAAATACGACAATGCATTGTCCTCTTCAACACTTTGTCTTTCTTCTTCTTGGGTGATTCATTCACTCCTCTCTTTCTTTTTTTATCAGCTTTAGTAACTTTCTGTCGGCCAGGCATGTCTGGAATATGAGGCTGAACTATTCGCGGTTCATCTCCAACTGGCCAGAACTTTGCGCCTCTTATTGGAACAAGGCCGTCTCTGTAGATGCTCCTCCACTTGCTGGTCCTAAACCAGTGACAAACAAAGTCCTGAGCTTCTAGTCCTTTCTTTAACATCACGCCGTATGCATGTTCACAAGGAATGCCGGTGTTTTCCCATCTTCTATATGTACAGGTTCTATTTCCCAAGCTGACTCGATAAGTACATCCACCGATTTGGGAGTCATACATCTTGTTTGTGGATGGCCTCACAATGCAGTCTTTTGCTTTCTCATGCAACTCCGCCAAGTATTTACTCACATATGGAGTGCAAATGCCTTCGTGATCGCTTGCTTTGACATCTCTTTTGGCTATGCGAACCATTGCAAGTCTTGCAATGGTTTCCAGCATTGGGACTAGATCTTTCTCTCTTGCTTTACCTGAAAAACAATGAACCCTACTGATAAACAAAGACATTTCAGAACATAAACATTTCATAACACATATTTGCAAGCACACATACCTATAGAATTGTTGAATGACTCCACAGAGTTATTTTCCACATCCTCACAATATGGCCCTAACTTGTAGTATGCCCTACACCATGTTTCTGGTTTTGTTTTCAACAAATCACTATAAAGAGAGACATCATAGCGCCTTATCTTCTCCAGGTTTTCTTTGTAATCTATCTCATTGTAGCTCCAAGCAAGATGCCAAATTAAACCCTTAAGATCCGGTCCTTTATGCCCTTTCTTGAGATTTATGTAGATGTGTCTAACACACATTCTATGCTCAATCCCAGGCAACTCTCTCTTAACAGCATTTATCAAGCCCTACATAAGCAATGGCATAACATGAAGTGAAATCAAATAAGCAATGATCAGACACTAAACAAATAAGCAATGATCACACAAAAAAAAAGAAGATAACTTCATAAGTGTTACCTTTTGACGATCAGACACTAAAACGTATCCATCTCCATCTCCTAAGTCTAAATCTTTCTTGATCTTCTGAAAGAACCACAGCCAATTATCCATATTCTCTTTCTATACGACTGCCCATGCTACTGGATAGATTTTATTCTCTGCATCTCGACCATTAGCAACAAACAACTCTCCTTTTTGAATGGTTTTCAAAAAGCACCCATCAACTCCAATAAGCGGCCTACAATATTCTTTCCATGACCGTCTAAGGTTATCAAAACACACGTAAAACCTTTGGAAGACATGTTCTCCTTTCTCATTTGTGATACAATCAACCTCCACCGAAGATCCAGGGTTTGACACCTCTATCTCAGTTTTGTAATCACGGAGACGTGAAAACTGCTCAGCATACTCTCTATCAATCCACCTTAAAGCTTTATTTCTAGCATGTTGGCACTGAGCTCTTGTCACAGATATTCCCCATTTCTGCATGATCATTTCTTCAATCTTCATCGGCATAAAGTAGGTTGGCTCTTCACGAATCTTGTCGATGAACAAACGGGCAATTTGAGGAACCTTAAGCATTGTACAAGTGCCATTAGGTGCACAAGTATGCTTCGCCTGAAAGATCGATATCTTCCACTTATTCTTAGAGCCAAGCGAGCAAAACACACGCCATGAACACCCTTTACCATTACAGCAAAACCTGAGCTTTGTTTTATCCCACCTCGTCTGCTTAATATTTCGACCAGTTTTCAGAGCGTAATCGAGTACAGCTTCTTTAAAAGCTATGCCGCTAATGAAGACTTTATCCAAGTACAAGTTACCATCACCTCTTCTGATGTTGTTGCGCCTTCTAGCACTTTGTTGCTCCTCATCATCCTCTGTATCCGGATATACATTATGCATCACAGGAGGCTCATCACAAAACTGAGATAAGGCTTCCTCAATATCGAACTCACGATGCTCTCTTCGATCCTCACCATCAGAGTCTACATCCGGCGGCTCTCTTTGATCCTCACCATCGACATCTTCATCTGGTGGTAAGTTCTCTTCAAACTCGGGCACATTATGCCATTCCACTATCGACATTGCAGAGAAGAGACAGCTAACAACAACAAAATCGACGAAAACGAGAATGAGCAACAATACTTAGAGCAAACGAGAGTGAGCAAAACCCAGAAATCAAAATCAAAATTCAAAACAACATAGACCCAATAATCTGTCGAAATCATGAAACTGAAGTGAGACATACCTATCGATTACTCAGGACTGAGATTTGGGTGTCGAAATTTTGTGAGATTGAGCGAAATTTTGTGAGGGTGTCAAAATTTTGTGTTCTTCGCGATTTAGGAATTAGGGTTTGAATTGGGGATTTTTTTTTAGTGTCTAAGTAAATGGGTTACGGGTCAAATTATGGTTTAGTAGTTTAATCGGGTCAAAATCTAGTTTATCGGAGTTTTTTATTGGTTAAGCTTCACTCGGATTTGTGTTAACCATGTTTAAGTATGGTTTACGTGGGTTTTGGGTAAATATGTTGTAAAACATCATATTATGTGTAAATAAGTTGTCAAAGTTCACATTATGGGGACATATGTCGAATTTGAAACATTGGGTGGTTCTACAACTATGTCATAGTTCTCGTGTGGGAATACGTCGTTTTCCCTATGGTTAATTTTCTTAGTTTTGAATAACGATCAAACCGGATGTGCTCTAAAATTTTTGACCTGCTTTTTGATCATATTGTCATGTGTAATATAATGTATTTTTCTAATAAAAGTTGACTAAAATATACTTAGCTCTAAAAAGAAAAATTACATATCCATTCTTTTTTATGACAAACCTGATAAATTTTTAGATAAAATTAAAAAATAAAATAAGGCAAACGTGTGTATAATCAGATAAATACCTGAGACTTCAAACCCATTTAGTTAAGTTATGACGTGGATTTAGGTCAAAAAGGCAAAAATACATAAATTCTAAATAGATTAAGTCGTGGGTTGTTTTAGAAAAAGGAAATTAGCTAAATGAAAACGTAAAAAAGGCAAGGATTATGATCGTTGATGCAATATATAAAAAGTGATAGGGTAACATATTTTTCCTCAGAATCACATTATCGATACTTCCTCAAACCTCTCTCTCTCTCGATCAATCTCATTCAGCGACCTTTTTCTTGTTTGCTTGTTAGTTCTTTCTTTTCATATACCATTGAATCATGGCTATAACAAAAAAACTAAGAAGGTGTTGAGGTTCTTGGTCGTGATGAGAACTGTAAATGCAAGAGTCGAATATCAAGAACAATGACACAATTTAACACAGGGTTTTCTTCTTTCAAACTTTTATTGTTAGTAAATCTGTTAATCAAATCATACAAGTTTTCTAATCCGATTTAAGAGAGATTCAAGACACACCTTGATCTGCCGTTCTAGCTTCCCTTGTTCTTCGATATGTACTTGATTTCAGAACTCCCCTAGAAAATCCCTTAACCCTTGATGTAGACTCTGATACACGAATCTCTTACCCTTATGCTAAGTGCTTTTTAGTAGTTGTGTTAAGCACATACAATGCTTCAACACGCCTATTTATACCTAGTAGACAATATGGCTATCCACGCCAAAACCCTACACTAAGCTTCCTTTTTGCTTGGCCTTAGTGTATATTCCTATTTCCTTAAATTCTCTCAAGTATAAGGAAATCTTCTATTCTTCGCGATCCACTCTGCTACTCTTGTCCATCTCCGCTCCTCTCCAAGACTCGTATTCCCATTGGTCCACTCAGCTACAAGTCCAACTCCGCGTCCAGCAGCGTTCAAGACCTTGACTTGTTCCTTACTTCAGCCTCGTGCTACTTCTTGCCTTGGTTCTGCTGATACAAACAAGTGATTCAGACGTCACTACATCTTCAATCTCCCCCTTTTTAGCTTTGTGTGTCTCACAAGCACCTGTTCATACAATCAACAAAACAGACACAAAGACATGCAAAGTACCAAGGCCTCCAGAGCAACCAAAAGACATTTCATAAACTGAAAAGTCAATCACAAAGTCTTGAATCAAAAAAATGCAAACAAGAGTTAAGGAGAAAACGATCACAGATCCACAAACTACAACACTCTCCTTACTCCCCCAGAAACTTAGCCTAATTTAAACCCACAACTAGACAATTATAAAAGAGAGCTCCCCCCCACAAATCAAGCACCCACATCATTAAATGAATCTTCTTCCCACATATCTTCTCCCCCTGCTTGTGAGCACAGAAGTTAAAAACAAATAGTCAAAAACCAAGAGAATTTACAAGTTAGAGTCCGAAAAATTACTTGCAAACGAGGCAATCACCACGTTGACCACTCCATGCAGCTGTGCCATTACCCGACTCACATTAGGAAGAGCTATGGTCACCTCATTGGCACTTGCAGGTGCCAATGGTACCTGAACGACTCCTAGAGGAACATCCTGAAACCCCCATGAGCAGAGATTGATGGCTCAAAAGATGCATCAGGAGGTGGAGCACGGAAAGACCGAAGTGGCACACTTGGTGACGACGTCGGTTGCTGCTGGGATGATTGTGGCGGAGGAGAAGGAGATCTCGGTGCGTCAGCCCTCTGCTTGCCCTTTTTTTTTTATTCTTCTTCGCAGCTGCGGTCTCTTTCTTGATGAACTCCTCACCACTTTGAGAGTCTTTCTTGTACCGAGAGGGTACAATGGGAGTCTCCTCTTGACCTAACTGAGGCTCATGTTGCAAGTTCAGAATCTTCTAAATCAAACACGGGAACACCAACAACGAGTGTCCTTTTTTATAATCTGCTTGAAGGCAAACCTTCCAAAGTCCACTCTCACGCCATGACTCAGTTAGTACAGCAGTCTGGCACGTTCCTCAGAGATGTGGTTCTTGTTGGTTGAGGGGATCCAATTGTATGCAGAAATGACAATCAGGGCAGCAAATACAGGCGGCATATTCTTTGTACTCAGTCCATTCCAGCCGCTTCCACCTTTTGACAAATGCTTATCAATATCAGACATGGATACTGCTTCAGCAACTGTCTCTTCTTGTGCCTCTGCCTCAGAGAGTGGGTTAAGATTGAGCACTCGATTGATCCATGCAGGTGAAAAGCAGTACTCGAACCCTCTCAGCTTGACTCAAATCTGCTGATCTGGATTAGAAGTTAACTCACCAGGAAGTCCAGCATAGAACTCCTGAATCACCTGCAGCACATACAGAGTTATTCCAACTACCGTCGACTCCAAGCCGCTGTCTTTGATCACTTTGATGTAGCCCCATTCATCCTTCTCACCTACATCAACAGTTCTCTCACACCAAAGTTGTCGTGTAGCAAAGTGATCATACCTTGCTTGAAGCTGAGATGGCTGTTCTTCGCGAGATCGCGCCTTCTTAGTCCTCTTCCATGAAGCTGGTTCAGGGGTCGGCTTAGCAATCGCTTACGGTGCCGGAGGAGTCTCAAATTTTGCTTTCTTTAACGGTGCTGGAAGCCCTAGCGCTCACAGCGTCTTCCTTTTCTGAGCAGCTCTTGCAACCTGCTCCTCCACAGATATCAATGTTGGCGACGCTTCAGTGTCGGAAGCTGATAACACCGTATTTTGACCACTTTTATGAATCATTTTGAAATACGTTTTCTATGTTTTTAATTGCTTTTAAGTACTTTTATTACGTTTTTCTAGTATTTGTAGTTCCAAGACTCTTTTCAGGTAACTTAGGGAAAAGCTTAACAAAATGGATAGAAGACCAGATTTCAGCTCAGAGTCAAATCATCAGAAGTTCACCCCCGATTGAAGGCCTTCTCAACGTCTGATCCAGCTCAAATTTGGAGATCTCAAAGATGGAAGTATCAGCTTTCCAGCACACTTTACAGCTTGGCAATCCAACGGTTCAATCAAAAGATACGAGAAGAGCAAGATGTCCTGTAAACCAGTCGGCAAGCGTTTCCACCTGCGGCCAACAGGCCATTCCCCGCGGACACAGCCATCCCGACCGCGGCCAGCCACCCATTCACCGCGGTCACGCACTTCCCAATCGCGGCCAGCTAACTCCGAGTTTGAAAGCCCATTTCTGAAGCCCGTATCATTTTCCCAGCCTCAATTCCGGAACCCTAAACACCAGAGAGTATTGGAGACTATAAATACATATCATTTAGGTCGTTTTTAAGAGAAGAAGAGGAGAGACGAAATACTTTACAGAATTTTTACTTTAAGCTTTGTTTTTAGGTTTTATGGAGAGAGAGATCTATCTCTTGAACCCTTGTTCTTTCTTTTTCAATTTCGGTTTCTGTTCTACTTTTTAATACTATGTTTTTGATTTCGTTTATCATGTCTGAGTAGTTTTATTGTTAGGTCTAAGGGATTTTTGATGGGGATATATGTGTTCGATGAGGATTCCATGAGCTATTGAGCCAAATCTTAGAACTTTTTCTTCTGAATTTGTTTTTACTGCATGAGAGTAGCGTCATGAACTACAATCTGATCCAGATGCTTGGTGACACGAAAGTGTTCATCCGGTGTCAGATCTAGTTTGGGAGAGCAAAACAAACATAGGAGTAGAAACCTACCTATGGGCGATTTGTGAATGCTGACGAGTCTTAAACATAATGCACCTCTTCTTTTCCAGGGCCAGAGTGGAAACCTACTGGTCAGGGTTGAGAGAGATAGTTGTCTATGATCACGACAGTGGCGTATTCATATGTCCGTGACTCTAATTCTAAAAGTTTAGGCTAAGATCTTATCAAATTTACTCTCTAGCATTTGAATCGTTCATACCCCTGAGAAAACTTCCCTGAATCCCAGCGCTTTCTTTCTTATAGATTTACACCGATTTTCATTCAAGCTTTAGTTTATTATCTTTACTCTTTCAATCGATTTTCACTTAGCAATTAGGTCTAGCTGTTTTTCTCGTTTTTACTCGTTTTCGTTAAGTTTAGTTATTAGGTCATTTTAATTCCCGTATTCTCTCTTTAAGATTCGTTTTTACGTTTTAAACACACCACCAAAACCCTCACAAAACTCGCCTGGTTCTAGACTTCCTTACTTTATATTTCTTTTGAAGGCTTTTGCAGGAAAGATCCTCCTTCCCTGTGGATTCGATCC